AGAGTGCCCGAGCACTGCAGGTGCGGCCCTGCATTTCATGTGAACCAACTGGAGCCCTCTCTCTTGGCATCAAGAGCGTCCAAATGAAATCGTATTTGCCACTAGTCGTCATTAATTTGCAGTTTTCACCTTGATTAATTGCTAGGAATGCACATAATGAGAAACTTTTACAAAAAACAGGAAGGGAGGAAATGGAAATTTGCACTCTGCAGTGCTTTTCTCATTTATGACCTCTGCGGCTGAAACTGTAGAGCACCGTGGTCCACTTTATCACCCATTTTCCCTGTCAGTCCAGTGACTACTGAAATAAAACATACAGTTGGATACAGAAGAAATGGTGTGAGCAGCTTGTGCCAATTAGCATCAGGCTAATTGGCAAATGCTGCAAGCCAAGGAGCGGCTACTTGTTGCAGTGGCAGGGAAGGGAAAATTCATAAAGAAGGTTCTGGAGAGCTGACTTTATCATCAGGGGCTGAACACCATCGTACAGAAAATAACTATCCTAATATCCTATGCATAAGCGTATTGCTTTAGTTTGTTTTTCAAACAGCCTGATTCCTAGAAATGTTTGTCTCTCCTGCCTCATCATTTCTTCTCAGGGCTTCAGGCGTTCCACTCGGGCACAGCTTCCCAAGCAGGGAATTAGGATAGGAACTTTAGAAACCAGAACTTTATATTTTCTTTTTTATTTTATTACAGTTTTTCTTTTGCCAGTAGCTTGTTTTGAAGCAAGACAAGGGGCTCTTTCTCCGTTTTTAAAGTCTGAATGAGTGTCTTTGAAGGTTAACAGTGGGCAGTTTCTTTGGGAGTTGCAATTCAGTCCCTCTTTGCATAGGGTAGTTTCTGGATCTTTGAAGAGGCAAGACCTCAAAGACACTTGTTTGGAAATGACCATTGTAGCAATTATATGGCTGACTTCATACCGCATGAGCTCTCATACTGTGTTACGAAGGGTTGCGGGTTGTTGTTGTTTTTTCTCTGTGTGCAGTTGTCATGACTCATGACTTTCTTCCTGGATCACACACTCTCCTACCAGGAGAGGTTGTGCAGCATGGTTGTCCACAGGTCAAATTTGCATTGAAGGTGCTTCCTGGAGATGCTCTAGGAGATTTCCTTCTTGCAGAGATGGGGTGGAGGGAGAAATAAAACACTAGTTTTACAGTACAGAGTTTTACAGTACAATATTGTAATAAATTGCCAACCATGAGAGTGATGATATGGGGAAGGATGGTCAGTCCGGCTTAGAGGGTGCATTTGTCTGCGTCTTTCACAGCTTGAGCCCAGTCCCTGGGTATCTCCGTGCTTAGCTTCTACGTGACCTTTGTTGTGTTCTTCTCAGAGCCTCCTGTGGTCAAACCACCACTTTCCAAGGTGGGATTTGTGCTTTTGCCTTCACTGGAAAGCTCTTGCTGATCTAGTCTAGGAAAGCACTAACTTCACAGTTAGACTCTTTCTATAATAGTTACCTTTTATATGCACCTCATTTTCAATGTCTGCAGATAGAGGCTGCCTCCGATGCCACTTTGCAGGTGCTGTTTGATGGTACATTTTGAAGTGGCCTGAGACTTTGCCTCTGTTTTCCACCAAGTATTTCCTCTGCACCTTCACAGCGGTACAGGACGCGTTTGTGTCTCAGACACTTGTGCCTGCAGCAGCTTTTTGGCTTTGCTGCTTCAGTTGTGCTGCCGAGGCAGTCGTGTCTTCCCACTGCCTGAACAAGAATCACCAGAAGGCATCTGTCTGAGCCTGAATTGTGTTTGAAAACCATCTGGCACGGTGTGGGATAGTTGCAATAATAACAGTGAGCACTTTATGAAGAGCTGAGTCACCGTGCTTCATTTCCACTGTAATTCCGGGTATTAGTTGTACATATGTATTCCATATAGCCAAGAGGTTAATAATGTAGGCAGGTACTATATGAGACCATTATGCTTATTTGCTCTCATTTATCTTTCAAAATCTGGCTGCAGGAAATAATGTTTAATAATAATTACTAAGATGAAAGACTGACATCAGTTTTAGTTGCTTCCCAAACTTCTTTTCTGCTTGGGCTGGGAGGAAGGAGAGGAGAAAGGGAAACAGGGACAAAAGGAATGGGCTGTTTTCCCTGAAGGTCCTGGTGAAGGTCCTGTCTTCCACATAACCTAGACGTGAGGAAAGGATGTTGGGGAGCTGCCTGGGCTCACAGCGTAGGAGCAGAAAGGTGGCAGGAGATGCTTGGTCTTCATGAGTCCATTCTGGGATACCTCAGTCAGCTTCTTGCTCCTAGGAAGAGCTCCAAGTGATTGCGGACCTTGAGATGTGTCGGTTCTTCAAACATGAATGAAGTTCAGAGATAAAATTCTATTTTTTGCAGGTTGATTGTGTTGCATAAGGCCAAACCTTCAACTAGTGGTAACTGGCAAAATCCCCATGATGTTTTTGCCCTTGGAGAAACCTGGCAAACATACACGTGTTCTCAGATGTTTGTCAGGTGCCCCCAAACCCAACAGTTCGACCTCGTGCTGTGGCTGTCGCTCAGCCTTGCCCTGTACCGTCTTACCCATGAAACACAGGTGTGTAGGGTGGAAATGCTGCTCCCTCAGTGGGGTCCGCAGCGTTTTAGACTAGCACCACAATTGCCCCAGAAATGCTGCACAGAGGGCAGTGGTGAGAGCTGCGACATGGTGCAGGATGCAGCAAGGGCAGCAGGGGCGGCCTTGCTGCGGACATGACATGACGTGACGGAGGGAGAGCCGGTCTCTGCCGTCCCCTTCGTTCGTATGTTGGTCCCTCTCCCCTGTCCCCTGCCAGAACGAGGGTTAAAACACAGGCTGGGGTGTCAGTTTTAGCATTAGCAGCCAAGGGGCAGCCCGTGCTAACCGAACCGCTGAAGCCGAGGAGCTCCTCGTGTTCACATGGGGTTAATGAGCTGGTCAGGCCGGGGCTGCAGTCTGATGAGGAGGAGGTGGCGGAGGTTGTTTCATCTTCTCCTTCCCTTCATTTCAGCCCCAGAAATGACTGGGGAGAGAGGGCCCGCGAGGCACACGTGGGCGGCCGAGGCAGCGGCAGGGCTGTGCGGGCCGGCATGGCCGGCCTTGCCCCCGGCGCGCGCGACGCCTCAGCGGCGGCAGCGAGACGGGACGTGACGGGGGGCCAGCCCGTGAACCCCTTGTGAGCCCTGAGCAGACTGGACCACTTCTAAACGTATATTTGAATGCACCAAATTCTGGCCTTTAGAAGGGAGAGATTTCAGGTTCCACATGTGACGGTTTCTGCTGCAACTCTGGCTCCCCCGGCTGGAAGCTGCTGAGGGAGGAGGCAGGTGGATAAGGAGGGAGAAGGAGCAGAGCTCGTATCCAGTGGCAAAGGCATCTCCAGCAGCTAATTCCTAACTTTGTGTTATCTCTATACCTGTAAAACTTTAGGAGGTAGATATACTGCTTTGTGGAACATTTGAAGTGTGATTTTAAGTGTGAGCATACAGAGACCAAGCTGGGATTAATTTTAAGAGCACGTCTAGGGGACTGAGCTGATTCAACTGAAGAAATGTAAAAATGTGGTCTAATGCTACACCCAGTTCAGCCTGCCTGTAAGAACAGGCCGAATTAAGGAAGCTTTGCAGATTTGGGCCTTGGTATTTTAGAGCCAGTTTGTTTTCTGCCTGGGACAGGAATTCTGCTGTCATGAGGGTACATGAGAGTGAGAAATGGGATTTGAGGAGCTTGGGGAGCTGCGTGTGCAGCTCTTGAAGTGCATACAACAAGGGCTTTCAATAGAAGGGTGCTGTCCCTTTTACACAACAGTGTCATTTGTTTTTAAATAAGCTCCTGCAGTTCCCCCACCTCCCATTTCTAAATTTCTGCTGCATGGCATTAAAAAGTTGCTCTTGAAACCTGGGAGAGAAAGGACTAATTCCCAGCAAGAGCCCAATTTTGCTGTAGTACCTTGTATTCTTAACATTGCCTATGTAATACCTTGCCAAACTCCAAAGAATAGAAGTTAAAATAGAAACACTGTGGCCTTTCAGTGGCTGTTTACCAGCAGTTAAGCAGCAAAACAGTTTTGAGACAATTAACAGATCTCCAGGCCCTTTGGAAGCCCAGCTATAGCAGTCTCCACGCTGTTACGGGCCTATTTAATACCACTGGCAATGGTAATACTCCTGCTGGAGGTGGGTCTTGGCCAAAGCCAGCCTTGGAGCTTTGTAGCCAACCCTTAAGAATGTCCTGACACCCAAGGAAACCTCTCTGAGGCCGCGGGGATCCATAAGGACGTAGGAACTAATTGGTGTAGGTAGCACTTGCTGCCATACTGCAGCTTTACGGAATAACAGTGAACCATAGAGGATCTTTCTTTCCACTCCTATGGTGTTTCAAAAGCATTATTATCAAATGCTAATTTCAAGCAGTTATGGTTCTAGGAGAGGCTGCAACATAAAAATGCCACAAAATAGGCTTATTTTAATTGCTTACAGCTGTACTAAAAAAAAATTATTTAAAAAAATCAACTTTACTTTGGTTTTGATCAAATCACACTCTGTATTATCAGTTGTGTTAGTATGATGCAGGAGTATTTCTAATTCTCCTGAGGATTATACTTGCACCTGAAGGAGGAAAGTTATGTGTGATGGAAAGCATTTTTATCCTGAATTCATTCCACCATTGTAAAGCTGTGGTTGGAATTGTGCTGGCACGTGTTCAGGATTCTGTCTGTTTTTATCCAGTTGTAACACACTAATATCTCCCATCTGAGAGTTAGAAACTGAGGCCTGTGGTTTCTGTGATTTAGAGTTTGATCGAGTTTGTGATTGTCATGGTGCTGGCTTGATCTGAGCTGAGGTTTGATAAGGGATCAGAGATATTTTGGTGCTTTAACTACCTTTGAAGAAAGAATACTTGACAAAGCAAAGGGTGGAAACTTGTGAAAACTGCTGGATATGATCGCAAGGGAGAGTCTGGCTATATATATTTGTAGCCTTAGAAATGCACAATTCTGATATGTGGTGTTTCTCTTTACAGTGCTTCCACTTCTCACTCAGACCATTCTGCCCATACCAAGTCTGCTTCTGCAATATCATCTGACTCCGTCTCCACCTCGACAGACAACTTTTCCCCAGATTTAAGGGTATGTATGTTTTGTCTTTAAAAAAATGGATAAAATGAGTTCCTTCAAAGGCTGTTTCTTCCTCTCTTTAAGTTTGGTTATGTTAAAATGGTATCAGCTTTCCAATTCGTGCCAGATTTTACTAGCCAAAGCATGAGAAGACCCCAAATCAGAAAGGTGCAATAGAAATTGTGGTTCAGTCTCTACCACGTTATTTCCTTCTTTATAAAATCTTCAGAAAGCTGACTTTGCAAGCCACGTTTGGAGATGAATTTTCAAAGGAACTCCATTGACTTGTAAGTGCTGAAAGTGAGTGGAGATACTGATCAAGCCACTTTTATAAACTTGTTCTTGTTTGCTATGGTGTGCCTATATATGTAAGAGAGGCTCACTCTTGAAACCTCCCGCTTGTTTATAAACACAATATCCTTGAAAGTATCTTCTTTCACGGAAAGATTAAGTCTCTGATTTGATGAAAAAATACTTCTGATACAATGAATGATTTTGGCATAGAAGGTTCCATTCCATTCCATAGGTTCCATTCCATTCCATAGTAGGTTACAAAAAGTTCCATTTTAAGTACATTATTAAATCTATTAATGGAAAATCCATAGTTCTAGTTTGACATCACAAGAGTTCTGAAAATTATCTATGCCTATTTCGTGCTGAAAGTGAGGGGCTGATAGAGGATTGCTTTGAAAATGAGGTCCCTGAGTGTAAATTACTGGCATTGCTACATTCTAATAACAACTTCTAGCATTTCTCAGCTGTGGTTGAGCAGCTTTGTAAAATGCAGACAAAATAAAGGGGCATAAAAACTCTAAATACAAAACGAATATGTTTCTCTGACAACTATGGTATTTTTTCCCTGTGCATGTTGTCTGCATACTTCTTAATTAGCGGAAAGTCCTCCTGTTCATAAGTAGGAAGAACTTGCATGTTTCTGATGGCAGTTTGCTAAAGGAGGCTTGTTAACTACTTTTGAGCTGCAATTTAAAAAATACTCGGTAGTTCATACGTAATCTAATGACAGTGTGCATCTATTATCTGTGGATACAAAAATTAATCTCAGAACAAGCCTGGGTAGAAAAATATATGATACATCTGAGGCTTTCACCATAAATCTGGGACGTTCCTTTACTGCAACATACAGAAAACACAGGGTTTTTTAGGTTAGCCTACATTAAAGCAATAAGCATTTCTCTCTCCATTGCTGAGGCTGTTTGGTGATGGAGAACATGCCAGGAAGGTGGAATCAAGGTCTGTTCGGTCCCCATGGGCAGTCTCTTAGGTTGGTCCCACAAATGCTCCCTAGTTTGGACACAGAAACAGTGCATTACTGGTCGTTCTCTAGCCAGGTCCCCAGTGAACATACCTGGGGATGGAAGACTTATTGTGCATGGTGATCTGTTAAAAACAGTAGATTTCAGGTCTTGACACAAGGAGAACAGGCATTTATTTTTTTTTCCTTCATCTTCTTTATTTTCCCTTTATTCTTTGCCAAATTTTCTCTGAATTAACAGCTGTCATATAACAGTTTTGCAGTTTTGCCTTTTTTGAGAGAGAGAGAGACACAGAGAGAGACACAGAGAGAGAGGAGGGGGAGAGGGAGAATTTTTTGTCAAGGTCCCGATTGTTCTTATTATTTTCTTTAACCTTTCTGAGATATAGCTTTGCCCTTAATACTGCAGGTGAGGTCATATCAGGAACTGTTAAAACCACATGGTGACAGAGCAGTGGAACAGGCTGCCCAGGGAGTCTCCTTCTCTGGAGGTCTTCAAAACCCACCTGGATGCCACCCTGTGCCACATGCTGTAGGTGTGCCTGCTTGAGCAGGAAGGTTGGACTAGATGATCTCTAGAGGTTCCTTCCAACCTTGAATGTTCTGTGATTCTGTGATTCTGTTTTGCGTACTAGCTCATTCCTTACACACTAGAGCATCTTGTGCAGCTTTGACTGGTATAAGACCATGTTAATTCCCAAGCCTTAACAGGTACTGAGATCCGAGCTGAACACTGTATTTCTTCTTCTGAGGAGAAGATAAACCCCACATTTTTTTCTGGTGGTGTGTGGGTCGGTGAAGAAAATACGCCCTAAGGTATTTTCTGAAGTATAAACTAGCAGAGTTTTTGTTTCCTCTGTGATATGGAGACAAGTGCCTGGTCACCACAGTGTTCTCATAAGGTTTTGTGTCATTAGCCTTGAGAGGCTGAAAATAAGCATTTCAGGATTTTGAAGGGGGTCTGCCAATTGTGGGATTATGCTCTGGATGTATATTTAAATTATCCTTGCTAGAATGGATTACTGCATGGACCCATCATCACTCCTCCCGCCACTTGGTCCCTGGCTCTGCATGCGCATCAGCTCAAATTTAGGAATTGCATTTATGTGGCCATGGAATTAAAACCCCCCAAACTTTATGGTAGTTACAGTTAGCACTATAATTTTGTTGTGGGGAGTATTTAGAAGAGCAGTAGGCGTCTGTTAGGAGGAGGGAATCAGGAGAAGGACCCACATATTTTCTTGCAATCTGTGCCTGCAGATTTCTTTGAGAGAGCCATTAACACAACCACATGCATGTGTTCGTGTGTGTTTGTAATGAGGCAAATGAGGAATTCCCCTGGGCGTTCCTGCCAAAGGCATGTGCTGTGTTTTTCCCAAATCTTTCTCCAAAGTGTTTCATGGTAAGTTTTATTTATTTTTTAATGTAGAGTGAGCTTTTTAGTATCGGGAACTAAGATTAAATTGCTTTTCCCCTACAATTTATAGAATTTTCACTTCATAAACTAACTCGAAATAACTTTAGGCCAGTTGAGTTAGCTGCATAGAAAACAAAGCCCTGTGGTTCTTGCCCCTCCTTCCCACCCCATCCTGGTCTCAAATCTGAAGCTGTTTAGAATTGATTTAGGGAATGCACTTTTCAAGGGAATTTTTAGCAAATACACTGCCATATGTTTGAACATAAGTTACAGATCAGGCGGGGAAGTAGTTGGAAGTGAAAATGAGTTGGGAATTCAAATATATTTTGTACATTCAGAGTGAAAATTCAAAAACTCCTTAGAGCCAATGTTGCCAAAGGGCTCGGATGCCTTTCTGCCTCTCATGGATCTGGGTGCCTGGTGATTTTTCACACAATGAGATTATTGTTCTTAAATCCTATAGGTGGTAGTTTCTCTGCTGCCTATGGGCAGATGTAGGCCCTGAGGTTTGTTGGTAATGCTCTAACTTTTATCAGTAGGGACTTCATTTTTGAGTTAGCTTTTGATTTACAGGATATAGCCTGAAGTTTAAGATCTTTGAAGAAGTTCTCAGAAAAGATTCGGATTCCCTGCCAGGATGTCACTTGGATTTGGGAAACCGTGGACGTGGCCTTGGGAGTCTGCTGCTTCCCTTAAGAATAATAAGCAAGCCCTAGTGTGGCAGACTGGCATGTCAGCTGGGAAGCCTTCAGAAAAGCTGCTTAAAACCATGCTCTGGCATTGCTGTTTGTGGCCCTGAAACCATCCTCCTCCTTGAGAACAAAAATCAGATCTGCAGTTCCTGATTTCTGATGGTCCAGGAGCAATAGTATAAGCCCTTAGCCATCCACGTCTGCTTTCCTCCACTATTGTTTGCTCCTGCCAGTAAATCACATTAAAAAAAAAAAATTACTCCTTTAATAGAATAGTGATCAATGCTTTTGCAGTAGGTTATGCAAACAACCCACAACAGTGTGGCATGCCCAGAACTCAAACATTAGAAAAGAGAAGAAACAGTCGCCTGTATAACTTGAATTTGTTACCCATTATGTGTGTGCATTGAGGATTTTTTGGACAAACCCAAATCACCCATGTGATTTATTTTGCAAGATACGTAACTGATGAATGACAGAAGGTCTGTGAAGCAGTTTGCTCCTTCAGAGACAATAAATGGAAGCCATCAGTGCCTTCCATAAGCTTCCTGAATGGAGTTCATTTGGGTTCGCCTTCATTTATGCTACTCAGCTGCAGTTCCTTTCTGGTGAATGGAAAGAATTGGGTCATTTAAGATGTGATTTATCTCAGAGTTTAGTAAATGCCTCCAGTAAGTCAAATGAGTAAGTGAGAACATCATGGAGTTAAGCTGTAGGATCCTTGTTGCATCCTTACTGCAGGATGCTGTGAATTACATTGGGGGAGCAGCAGCTCCTTGCTCAGAGCGGATCCCAGCCCTCGCTGTGCTGCAATAAAGGTGAAGTTCTGTCTGATTTAAAAACCATGTATGTTTTTCCTCTGTGGAGAGAGCACAGGATGAATTGCTAGATGTAGTGCTCAAAAATCGGGCTAAAACCTGCGCCTGAGGTCACGTTGGGCTGCATGAACCTTAATGCCAGTCACTGACTTTGCCACCTTTGTGTTACGTTCCTGGAGCTTTAGTGCAGACTGTCTCAGAGTAGTTTCCTGGAGGATGTGTATGTTGTTAGAAGAAGAACATATTGAAGAAAGATGTGATTTTTCCCTATCCCTTGTTGTAAATCACAGAAACTAGCCTCAATGAGCTTTTCCATCACTATCTCCCTGCCAATGCAGGAAGTGTGTCAGGCTCTGGTTATGTGGAACACATGTTCAACAAGCACTGGGGTAAGAGAGAGGCATAACTTTGCAAACTTTGAGCATGCATTTAAGCACCTTTTTTATTATTGCTATTAAGCAACTTTTTTTTTTTTTTGTTAGTGAATGATGCTAGCTTGGAAACACTAAATCATGAGAAAATACACCTCATCACCTGCAGTGGAATTTAGCCCTGGAATGAGTTTTCCTCTTCACTCTGCCACTCAATTCCAACCCTAGCTTAATAGGGGCACAGGGGGAAGTATTTTAATGTCAGGCTGAAAAGTCAAGGGACTCTTCACATGAAAGTGCCCAGAAAAGGGCCAGAAGTGCAAAGGTGGTTTTTGTGATGTGAACAGTCCTTCGTGTAGGTCACTGGATTGTGAGATAATTGACCTGTAGTCACAGCTGGATGTGTGATGTAAATAGATGATGTAGTTACTGAGAGTAAAT